AGACCTGGCTCTCGAGGGCAGTGTGTCAAGTCCAATTTAATGTTAGCTATTTCATGTCTGTTCTAGTAATGTAATCCGTTGAGTAATCACAAAAACAGGGGGCAAGCAGAATATGATGGGCTTGCGCTAATTATATGAAATGCGTCAAAAAGCCACCGTGTATCAACGTGTAGAGTTTCTTTTTAGAATTTTTTTTTTAATGTTTTATTTATTTCTAGGAGAGAGAGAGAGAGACAGCGTGAGCAGGGGAGGGTCAGAGAGAGAGGGAGTCACAGACTGAAACAGGCTCCAGGCTCTGAGCTGGCAGTCAGCACAGAGCCCGACGCGGGGCTCGAACCCGCGAACTGCGAGATCACGACCTAAGCGAAAGTCGGACGCTCAACCGACTAAGCCACCCAGGCGCCCCTCAACGTGTAGAGTTTCTAAAACAAGAACGTAAACCTGGTATGTTGTTCTACCGTTTAATGGGATGTTGTGCAGATTATTTGCTTTGCTTCCCATAATCATTCTCGGCCCTTTTTGCCAGGTAGAGGGTCTCACGGGGGTCCCCTATTCTCTGGTTTGTGATGAGATTTGGCCGGTAGTAGGCATGTGGACATCAGAAAGCAGGAGGAGAGAAGTCAGGGTATTTATTCTTCTGTCCCTGCAACGCTTCTTGAACTGCTGGTACAATTCCCTGGACTTTTCCATCCTCACCACATGGTAAGGGCTGCCCTCTGTTGCTGCTCCCTGAGTAACCTCAACAGACATTGTTTATTCCCTCCCTCTTGACCACTCCTCTGTAAGTAGGCCCTTAATGAACTTCTCGGTGGTTAAATTCTTTTGGGTAGAATCTATTTCCCAGCTGGACCTTGATACAAATACAAAAGCAATGAAGATTTTTATTTTATGCCCTTCTAAACACTTAAAATTAGCCATGATTGATCCCTAAAATGATAGTTACCTACCCAATATTTAAAAAAAATAACTTCCCAGGACGCCTGGGTGGCTCAGTTGGATAAGCACCTGACTTCAGCTCAGAGCATGATCTCACGGTTTGTGAGTTCAAGCCTGGTGCTTGGCTGAGTGGACAGCTCAGAGCCTGCGCCTACTTCGGTATGTCTCCCTCTCTCTCTGCTCCTCCCCTACTTGTGCCATCTCTCTGTCTCTGCCTGTCTCTTTCAAAACCAAATAAAGCATTAAAAACATTAAAATTAATTTCCCAATTTTACTTAGTTCAGTCTCAAAGGGACTCTGAAAATATTAAGAACAAGTGGGCCTTAAGAATGACAATAGGGGGCGCCTGGGTGGCTCAGTTGGTTAAGCATCTGACTTCAGCTCACATTCATGAGTTTGAGCCCCATGTTGGGCTCTGGGTTAACAGTTGGGAGCTCAGAGTCTGGAGCCTGCTTCAGATTCTGTGTGTGTGTGTGTGTCTCTCTCTGCCCCTCCCCTGTTCTTTCTCTCACTGTCATAAATAAATAAACATTAAAAAAACAAATAGCAATACTCTTTACTGTGGTTTTTTCCTCCTTTGGTATAAAAGTTTTGGATGGTGATTTTATCACCTCGGTTTTTTTTTTTTGTTTTGTTTTTGTTTTTGTTTTGTTTTGGTTTGTTTTGACTTGTTACTTTTCTATCTCAAACAACAAAGCGGGGACTTGGAAGACAAACAACTAAAATCCTAGGAGTCTTCAAAAAGATAATCCAGGACATAATAACAGGATGTAACAAATCTTTCTGAAAGACAAAACTCCAGCAGTTGCCAAGCACATTCCAAAAAACCCTATGGAGTATTTAACTTTCCTGGAACAAAAAGATACATCATTTGTAGATAATTTTTGAACATATATTAGAGGAAAACAAAAGCGAACACTAAAAACTCATTCCATTTCTCTCATGTGTAGCAGAGGGTTTCAATTAGGGAAGCTCAGGATAATTAGTTGATTTAAATTTTTTTTAAAAGTTCATATATTTATCCCTTCTGTCACTTTATTCATCTCTTCCACTCTTTTATTTTATATTGCTTTATATCTGCATTACTTTTATTATTCCCATCTTTCTAATTTCTTTGGTTTATTTAGCTCTTTTTAAGGTTTCACCAAAGTAAGTACTACATTGTTTTATCTTGTCTTTAAAGCTAAGATTTACTCAGTACAGGTTTTCCCCCTTACCCTTCTGTTCTCATTATAAAATATCATTATTTTATTTCCTTCATATATATACATATATTTTAATTTTAAAATTTATTTTTGAGAGAGATAGAGCAGGGGAGGGACAGAGAGCGATGGAGAGAGAGAGAAACCCAGGCAGGCTCTGCTCCATCAGCATGGAACCTGATGCGGGGTTCAAACCCATGAACTGTGAGATCATGTCCTGACCCAAAACCAAGAGTTGCACACTTCCTCAGCTGAGCCACCCCAGGCACCCCACTATTTTACTTGCTTTTTAAATAATATGGAAGTTTCTTTTTTATTTCTATTTTGATTTGTAGGGCATTTTCTTAACTTTAATGTGAATAGTGAATATGTTTTATCATTTTATTTACTTTTAATTTTACTGGGTCATTATCAAAGAAGGTGGTGTTTCTATACTTTTTTTTAAAAACGCTTTTTTTTTTTTTGAGAGAGAGAGAGAAAGCATGATTGGGGTAAGGGAGCAAAGAGAGAGGAGAGAGAGAGAATCTGAAGCAGGCTCCATGCTTTCAGTGCAGAGCCTGATGCAGGGCTCCATCTCATGAACCATGAGATCATGACCTGAGCTGAAATCAAGAGTCAGATGCTTAATTGACTGAGCCACCCAGGCGCCCCTCTATCCTCTTTAATTTTTAGGACTGTCTTTACTGCCCAATAGCTGATCAAGTTTTATAAATTTTCCCGGACATGTATAATAAATATATACTACCATTCAATGGATCTAACTTTTTAGATATATTTATTACACTGGTTTGTTAATTATTTATTCCAATTTTATGTGTCTTTTTCTTCTCGCATCTGTCTGTGTATTGATTCTGTGTATTGAAATGTTCACAATAGTATTTTTCATCAGTTTCTCCTTTCATTCTTAATAGTTTTTATTTTTCGTTTCCTATTTAAAAAATTTTAATGTTTATTTATTTTTGAGAGAGAGAGAGAGAGAGACAGAGCATGAGCTGGGGGGGGGAGGGAGAGAGAGAGAGAGAGAGAGAGAGAGAGAGAGAGACAGAATCTGAAGCAGGCTCCAGGCTCTGTCAGCACAGAGCCCGACATGGGGCTTAAACTCACAAACCCTGAGATCATAATCTGAGCCAAAGTTGGACCCTTAAGCCACCCAGGTGCCCCTTAATAATTTTTATTTTCATATTCAGATGCTATTCTGTTTGGTACATCATGTTCACTAGATGTTAATATGAGTTTATTGCATCTTTATAAGCCAAGGCGTTTTCACTAGATAATTCCTCTTTGACCTTACTGAGTGTTCCTGCATTAAATTCCGCTTCATATCACAAATTCTTCCCAATCCCAGTTTATATTGATGATAATTGCTGTTACTACTTTGTTCCTTTAACGTCAATGTTTACTTCATGAATATAAATGTGTCCCTTATCAACATCACATAACTGTTTTATCTTTGTTTATTAGAGCCTTTTTATTCTTTTCAAAGAATTCCGTGTGCTCACCTATAGTGCTAGACTAATATACTTGATTCATCCCTTCTGTTTCAACTTGCTTGCCTCTTATTTTACTTTTCTTCCTTCTTTTTTTCTGCACCTTCTGTGTATTGAAGGTTATTCCCTCTCCCAGGCTCACAATAGAATATGTTTCTCTATTATTATGTGAAAATTTTAGTATCAAATATCACCTCCCTCCCAAGAAAGACATACTATCTTATCTCTGTTTTCCTTACTCTAACAAAGTGAGTACATGTGTCTCAAATATTAATTAAATATAAGTCAGATTATAACTACCCCTATAAGAGAAATACATTTATTGACTTTGAGAGAGAAGTAACAATGCTACATTTTTAAATATAAACTACAGATAACAAGGATACTATAGATCATTCATCTTATTTTAGAAATTTTATTGAGGGGACACAAATGGGTTTAAATAAATCTGGATATTCATTTTGATGTTATCCTAAGAGTATTATAAAAATTGTAGAGAAAGTGAACTAATGTGTAAATTTTATGGTTTCAAGATCAGTATGTATCTTATTCTTATATCTTTAAAGCAAACCTTGATGGGTATTCAAGGAGATTTTACTTTTTTAAATTAAGAAATAAAATGCTCCACTGATTTCTGATATAGAAATTACCAGTGTGCTATTTGTTTTAGTGATTTAATTTTTAGCTTTTTGTGGGATTTTGTTAAACTAAGGCAAGAGAATTTTATGATTTATTAAAGTGAAGCCCATTTCAATTCATAGCACTTTTATTCCTAAGCTTCAACCACTATGGTTGAAAAATATATAATTAGGAGGAGTTGAAGAAATTTTTAAATATTCTGTTGAGGTTAATATGCAATGCAAGGTGGCTACATATAGAAATATAAGGGGTTATTGCGTAGTACTATAGCATAATACTAAGTAGTTAGTACTGCATATTGATTCTTTCTATTTTGTTGTATAGTTGTTGTACTGTTTATGATCGCTACCAACAATGACCTGTATGAGTAAAGCATTCACAATTAATTTCAAAGCAGACAATGTACTGATTAAGAAATATATGGTAAGTTCATTCAATGTGATCATCTGGCTAGGTGCCAAAAAGGATATCAGAAAATTGGTGAGAATCTCCACTATGTCAGTAATTAGGGAGAAATCTAGATGCAATTACTGACCTAAGAGAGCCTACGATGTAATGTGAGTTGGCACAGGGTAATGTGGTGAGGAATTAGATGAGAGTGGAGTGAAATAGCTAAAACATGTATAAGCACAGGCTGAGGTCCTGTTAGATAGAGCTTATTATGTTAATTATATTAGAATAAAGTATTCTCTTCTATTTTAAAATTGTCTTCAAGCATCATTGTCATTTGACTTACTTTCACTTGTGGAATAATCCTGTGGGTCAAGTATTCCTGATTCCTGCAGTGATCTAATACAGGAATCCACCAGCTCAAGACCTGTGGTAAGTTCATCTTCGATGTCTTTTTGACCATCTGAAACACAAAATTTTAAAGTGATGAACAAACACACGACGTTGTTACTATTAAAGCTTCGGGCCTAACAATGAAAAGTATCCTAACCAAAGACATTACCTCATGAAGTTCTCATTAGATTTCACACTGTAATCCTTGGTCAACCAGTATCACAAACCAAGGCCAGCAGCAATTCCAGGCATGCATGAAAAACATAAAGTTTTCTAGGGAATTGAGAGAAGTGAACTCTCAGGAAATCACGAGCTATCAAGGGATCATTTAATTTTAGTGTCAGGGTGTTCTCATTTTCATCAGTCTTTTTCCTGAAGTTCACAAGAATATTAATCAGCAGGCATACATGTAGAAATTGTACTTTACCTTGTGATTGCCAGTGAAACTGCTCTTCTGCTGAACTGTAAAAAAGAGAATACACAGATATAAGGCACTGGTTGGAAACCAAGGTCCCTAGACTAGAAGACACAAAGATGCATTATAGTAGTAATGGCTGCTCCATGGTGTGTCCGTTAGATTTTTACTGAGAAAAGAGGATCCGTTTTGATACAATCTTAACTTTATTCCATTTGATGTATATCTCTTTTGATTCACAGGCACTAGAGTGTGATAAATGGACATCGTTCAAGAATTTTCAGAGAAGAGCTCCTTGCTCCTTTTTTTTTTTTTTTTTTTACAAAGCCCTACCTATTTTACTCATCTCTTACAACAGCTTTTACATAGATACAGTCCTATCCTGCCCAACTTTAGTTATTTTAAACTATGAGTCTGACTAGTTTCCTATAGACTTTGTGAGGTTGTCGAGGAAGGAAAGAACTTCATTTTGCATTATAAAGAAGACACAATAAATCTATATCTTCTTCTAGACATATCTCATGAGCAGTTCCTTTCAGCTGATTATAGTTTAAATTAAGTCATTTACAAATTATAATTTTGTAACCAATTGAATATACAGTCCCAAATCCTCACTTTGCAAATACGTCTTATAAGACAACTTAGGGAGAAAGGGTTGTTCACATACATGATATGCCAAAGGCAATGCACAAAGTTCATCTATGGAGGCAACATAGGTTAATTTTGAATGATTATTAAGGATATAAAGTTTAACATGTCTAAAGATGCATAACTCTTTCATTACACATGCAAATACTTTCTACATGCCCCTTTTTATATGTCAATAATTGGTAGAAATCTAGATGCCAATTACGGACAGGTATCATTTTGAGAATGATTTTCTACACTTATTTCACTAAATCTTTTACTCTGATCAACCAGCTTCTGTGAATAGCTCATCAGTTGTACAACAGCAAGTGGATTTTAGACCTTTAATCTGTACTTTAGCGATGGCTTCTGAATACATTTACAGGGGGAAAGGAAAAGGAGATTCTGGCATAAATCAGTGTTCAGAGAAGCTATGATTGGTGTGCATGAACACAAGAATAGTACCTTAACGGACATGTGACTTTTCCTGGGTATCTTGCTCCCTGATCAATCCATTTTCTCAAACTGGAATATAGTTTCACAATGGTGAAAACTATACCCAGGACTGATACATGAAACGATAACTTTACAAATGCAATCCAACGCAACTTTTTCTTGTTTCAAAAAGGTATGTTCCATATAGTGGTAATATGTATCTATAAAGACCCACACTTAGAAATCTAATCCTAAAGTCAATATTTTAAAAATTGCATGCACAGTCAGCTAGTAACATTTTAGTTTATTTTTTTAATAAATTTAAGTTTATTGGGTTTTTTTTTTTTTTTTGAGAGATAGAGAGAAAGAGAGAGAGAGCAGGGGAGGGGCAGAGAGAGAGCAAAGGAGAGACAAGAGTCTCAAGCAGGCTTTGCACTGACAGCATGGAGCCCGATGTGGGGCTCAGACTCACGAACCATGAAGATCATGACCTGAGCCGAAACCAAGAGTCAGGTGCTTAACCAACTGAGCCATCCAGGCGCCCTGGTAAGCGGCATTTCAAATAGGAATTAAAAAAATGCTTTCATATTTGTAGTAATTGGATGGTGCCCTTCACCACCAAGAAGTATGTCCACATTAAATCTCTAGAAACTGTATTGGCTACAAATGGAAAAAGCATTTTTGAAAAATATTTTTTAATGCTTATTTATTTTTAAGAGAGACCGAGACAGAATGCGAGTGAGGGAGGGGCAGAGAGAGAGGGAGACACAGAATCGGAAGCAGGCTCCAGTCTCCAACCTGTCAGCACAGAGTCTGATGTAGGTCTGAAACTCACGAACCATGAGATCATGACCTGAACAGAAGTTGGATGCTTAACCGACTGAGCCATCCAGGCGCCCCAGAAAAAGTGTTTTTTAGTAGATGTTGAAATTAAATGTCTTCAGATGAGATCATCCCAAATCCCATGATAAGGGGCCTTATAAGAGAGACACAGAAGAGAAGATTATATGTAAATGGGAGCAGAGACTGGAATTATGCATCTACAAGCCAAGAAAAGCCTGGAGCCATCAGAGCCTGAAAGAAATAAGGAAGGATCCTCCTCCTAAGCCTTCATAGGGACCGCAGTCCTGCTGACACCTTGAGTTTGAACTTCCAGCTTCCAAGAGTTTGAGAGAACACATTTCTTTTGTTTTAAGCCACTCAGCTGTGGTCATGTGTTATGGCGGCTCCAGGAAAGTGATGCAATATTTTTCTGGTACAATAAAAATGGTCTCATGTTACACCCTCCAGGATTTACTACTATCTATGCTGCTATGTTCCTTTTGTCAGGATAAGCCTTTACTAAGTGCTTCCTGTATACCTTGGCTCCTCTGATCCCTGTCAACCAACAATGCTCTTTTTAGGCGAATAACAGGCTTACTTTGGTGTTAAATAACTGGACCACATGGATCATAAGGAACTCAACAAGGATGTAAATTAATCTGTCTCACTCCAAAGCTCATATTCCTAACTCACAATAACATGTGGTGGAGGGAAACACACTCAGGTGGCTTCCCACCTGAACCAGTACGAGTGACTCAATAGAAGACATCACACTGGCCACTCCTCTCCTCACAGGCACAACGAAGAGCGCACTTCATGCCCCCTTGCATGTAGATGGGGCCACGTGAGAGGAAGCGACAAGAGCAGCTTTGAGCCCCAAGCACAGAAGGGCAGGCAGGAGATCTTCATGCTCTCTCTCTCCTAATCCCCCCCTGAGATAGGTCCCTGCGTAGGAGGAAGATTTCTGCCAACCCAGAGAAGACACAGCATGAGTGAGACAGAAACCACTGTTGTGTGAAAACTCTGGAGTCGGAGGGGAGTTTGTTTCTGTTGAATAAATGTCACAGTGAGTAATGCAGAAATGTGGCAGTGTTTGAGTTTGTAAGGTGTTTCTTGCTTCTCTTACATTTCTGCGGTGGAGCGCTGGGAGAAAATGTCTTCGGTCACTCCAACACAAGTAAGCTGGTGTGACAGCTTTTACTCATCCTGTGAGATGGATCTGCTCACATACAATGATGGGTGATTTTATGTGTAAAAGCACACATCAGAGTTTCCTATAATATTTACTTTTTGTTCGTCTCTTTCAAAAGTGTTTCCATTTTATGATGCACCGCATCCAAGAAGAGACATTTTTTTTCTTACAGTGGAAAGAATACCATTCACAGCAAATATGAAACTATTCCTCTCGAAGCAGAGGAAGCTTCCTTTTCACCAGATAAAGAGCATTAATCATTTAAAAGGTTTCCTGATTCCTTTAGCACGGGTAAAATGCATTAAAAGTATGACTGATCACAGAAAATAGAAGTCCCAGGAGAAACCTGGTTTGGATTTTATTTCCATTAAGTGCTCACTTGACTCTCTCTGTTAAGGCATTGTATGCAACTGTATACCTTATATACTTGATTTCTTCTCTTAAAAGCTACATTTAGGTGGATTTTTTTTTTTAAAAGCTAACAAACTATTTATTTATCTGATAACCACAGATTATGCCTGTGTCTGACATTCTGATTTCAAGTGTTTGGAAATTACTCATGGTGAACTGCCTCCCAATTATATCATTCAATTTAGTATCACATAAAAGTTATTTCTGAAGCAGTTGTACCCTCTACGCTTGTTCAGTTTTAGAAACGAAAGTTTGCTCTTACTACCAAAATGCTGTTTTTTCAAATAGAAGTAATCTGTAAAGAAGTACATTTAATAAAAATATACGTAATTTAGATTAGCTAGTATGTATTTAAATGTAAAACTAGGTACACGTTCCAGAACCCAATTACTGTGAGAAAAATACATATTTGTAACAAACATGAGCTAACATTTAACCTTTAAACATATACATAAATATGTATGTAACTCAGTAGTGCTCGGAAAGAGTTTTAAAAACAATACATTAAAAACACAACTACTAATAGCTAACAACTTACATAGCTCTAAGTTTCTACCAGGCAATATTCTAATTGATTTATGGTTAATTTCCATGACAACAGTTTTGAGATAGGTACTATCTTCCCACTTTACAGGTAATGAAACTGAGGGAAAAAGATGTTCAGGATCTTTTATTTTTTTTAATTTTTTTTAAATGTTTTATTTATTTCTAGGAGAGAGAGAGGAAGACAGCATGAGCAGGGGAGGGTCAGAGAGAGAGGGAGTCACAGACTGAAACAGGCTCCAGGCTCTGAGCTGGCAGTCAGCACGGAGCCCGATGCGGGGCTTGAACCCACGCACCGCGAGATCATGACCTAAGCGAAAGTCGGACGCTTAACCGACTGAGCCACCCAGGCGCCCCGAGATGTTCAGGATCTTATTGGTGGTCCCACAGCCAGCAAGCAGCGGAGGGCGGATTATGACCCTGGGTCTCCTGCTTTAAAAGCCGCATTCTCAACTACCATTCTATTCGCAGATTTGGCGACATCAAAATTACACCCCTATGTGATAAAAACAAAAACATAAACATAAAACTGTAAACCAAGCTGAAAAATAAGCCATGTCCTGGGAGAAGATATTTGCAGGGCAGATAACTTATAAACAAAGTAACTCCGACGAATCATTTTTAAGATAAAGATTAAACGGTCAAACAGAGGGAAGGTCAGTAAGTATACGTATTGCTGATGCATAGTAGAGAAAAGTCTAGAATGTGTCGTCATGGAACATATTAAAAGATACTCAGCCTATTAGTAACTGAAAGAGTAAAAACCAAACACAGGCAATTCTTTATACTCCACAGGCTGTCCAACAATTAGAATGTCTGACAATATTATGTGTTGGAGAGAAGACGCGGAAAACAAGAACTTTCATACGTTGCACTTGAGAAAGTATACCAGTCACTTGGATGAGCAGTGAGGCAATACTTGGCAAAGTTCTATATGCAGATGCCTAGTCACTCAGTAAGTCTGCTTTTAGGTAGAACTTCCAGGGAAACTTGGGCACCTATGCCCAGGACACCTGT